CCTCCCCCCCATACCTGTCTCGGGCTGGAGGCGGCTGTGGAGTGGCCCTCCGCCCGGGGCGCTGGGGACGAGGCCGGGCACGCGGGCGGAGGAGAGCTGCCTGTGGCCCCTCGTGGGAGCTCAAGGAAAGGGCAGGATGGGCCCCGAGGCCTTGGGGAGGTAAATGAGATTAGGGAACCCACCTCTGCCGAGCTCCGCCTCGCCGCCTACGACTGTCGCGTGCAGGGGAGATTGCCCTGTGGATGCTTTGAAAACTTAAAAAAGGAAGAAAGAAAAACAAAAACCAAAAAGGAACACATTTTTTTAAATGTCCCGCTCAAGCTTTTTTGAAGTGGAGGCGGAGAGTTGCAAAGAAGGGCGTGAGGTTAGATGTTGACACTGCTTCAAGTGTGTGCTCCCTTGCTGGATGGACATCAGATCTGGAAAGAAAATCCCTGCTGGATGCTAAGTGAGAATATCTGGAATCGCTTTAGGGGGGAGATCTTGGGTTCCATTCTGCCATCCTTTTCACAGAAGCCTCAGGTGGACCCTGCAGTTTTGGCCCCAGGCAGCCCAGACCCTCCTCAGCTACTGGGAACTTGTTCCAGTGATGGAACAAAGCCTCAAAGGAATTTGTGGATTCCACTCCCACCAGTGTGCAGGGGAAGGAGTGTTAGGAGAGGAGTCAGGAACTGGACGAGCCACCAGAGATAAAGAAGACTCGATGAGATAACATAGTGATTTTCCTCCAAATAGAAAAAAAAAAGTTTTGGTAGGATTACTCACAATTCTGAGATACTGAGTTATAACTTTCCAAAGACATGGGCATTTAGTGAACTTTGAGGGGGACTATATGATACTAGGTACCAGGTATTCACTTGTGCAATTTCTGTGTGACTAAAGACAGGTTTCTCCTTCTAAGACATCCCAGTCCAGAAATAACACAGACAGTTCATTCATCAGGCTGATAGGCAGGAAGGATGTACCTGTCAGAATGACCACGAAGTAAGTCTCTGGTCCCAAGAAAAAGGTGATGTGTATGTCCATGTACATTTGGCTACATTTTAGAGTGCATGTGAGAAGTTGTTGGTGAAGATAACACAAAAAATTCTCCCACCTGTATATTTAGGTGGTAAGAAAGCAACAGGCAGATAATTTGAAATTCATGCAATGAACTGATTGGAATGCTGAGCTGTGCTATATGTGAAAGGTGGGTGAGTTCTTTATAGGCAAAAACAGCCTGAAAGCCCAGAAGCCAAATACTAGTAAGATTTGGTCAAAACCTGGAGAAGGAGAAATAAAGATACTTAATAGTGTTTTCACCAAATACTCTACAAAGGAAACCCATGAAAAAGAAAGAGAAAGAGAGAACTGGATTCTGGCCTCAATAACAGAATTTATGGGACCTCCCAGCAAAGGTGGGAGATGCTTTAATGAAAGAAGAGGGTATTAAGAGGTTCTAAGTTTTCTCTTGCTCAAAAATTCCATGATTCTTTAGGGAGTTGAGAACCGTGCAGTTCCACTCAGCAAAATATTTAGGACCTACCTTAATGCTTGAGAAATTGAAAATGCTGATTACCAAACTTAATGTCTGGTGAGGCAGGGAGCCAGTAGGCTATGGAATGAGTAGTGAGACATTAAAGGAGTAGCAAAATGACAATAGAGCATTATTAACCATCAGTTAATAACTAGTAATAGTGTTGTTAATTCACCTTGGGGTTGTGATCAAAGAAGGAACATTGGTCTAGGCCTGGAGAGATCAATAGGCCTAGTGATAATGCAGATAGCATAGATAATGTTCTTCACAAAACAGCTGGAATGTAATGGGCATCAGATAAATAATACTTTCCATATTGTTAAAGTCACCAGAAAGAGAATGAATGGATCTGTAAGTTTAGAGAGAGTATCGGCCTGCCCTGCTAATATTAGGTGCCCAGCTACCTCATTCAGTTGACTAATGGGGGAGTACCAATGATTCTTTCCAGTTCACAGCTTTCCTTTAAGGAAACGTGACATTGCAGTCTTGACAGAACCAACTTCCAAGTTATGAATTGTTTCTAATCTGAACTTCTTACAGGACACCATGTTTTATACTTATTTTATGTTTCTTGTTTTTGCTATCTTTGAAATTGGAGATTATGTTTTATTGGCATTCCTAGAGGAATATAAATTTAACCCAATACAAATTATTTCATAAAATATAAAACAAAAAAATTCCCAAAAGGCATTTGAAAATACTACAACAAAACAGACACCAGCTGCCACAAGACTATTGTTTCCACCATTCCTTTTTCTCTTGTTTCTATGGGGTCTGCCACCATCTCACAATTTTGAGAAGACCAGAGTAAAAGATACTAAATCCAATTGCAAAAGATATTGCCATAATTACCTCCATTCTGCTTTTCAGCCAAATGTAACCTAAAGGAATTGTATTGTAAGAGCAGATAGAGATAAAACAATCTCTAGAACCTTTACATCTGGATGCTTTAGGAGATGCTTTTCCATGGACCTTCAGGAGTACACAGAGAGGGGGAAGAAAAGGGGGAGGGAGAGAATTTGAATTGCCTAAGAACTAAATTGAGTGGCTGCAGTGAGTTTTACAGATCTTAACCACATGATCAGCAGCATACCTCACATAGATATAGAATAAAAACTTAGTTATTTCTTTTTTGAATTTTAGGGTGCTTTTGTTTCTTTCTAGTTTACTAAGAAGTGATTTCTGAGCCTGGCTTTAGATCATATAAAGCTGGTATTTACCGTTGTCTCAGTGCTTTGGATCACCAAAGTCCAATACACCACTTACCGTTTAGGTGTAACGTATTTGCATCCTGTGTGCAAATTGCATGCCATACCAGAAAAAAAAAATGAGCTCTTGCTGGGAAGATTCAAATATCTTAGTTTGACATCATGGACTTCAAAGTGCCTAACTCAGGGATCATTTCTTGCATTTTTTCTTTGACATATATTTGATGGAGTAAATGCCAAGGGACAAAAAAAAAGATGTCTTTTTCTTAAAGAAGTTATACAAATTAGTGCTAAGTGTAAAAAACATGATCAGGAACTTTTTAAAAGAAATGTTCATTTTATTTATTAAAAAGTAAAGATATAGAAACAAGAGGTCTTTTTTTTTGTTGTTGACCTTGTTGTTGTGAATATACTGTATCAAGTTCTTTTTATTTTTTTCTTTTTCCCTTTGGTTTATCCCTGGTAGTCATTGTTTTTGATTCTGGCCCTGTGTCTTGTGTGTACATTTATCTGATTTAGGGAAGGGAAGGGAAGGGAAATGACAAAATGGTGAAACAAGGACAAAGGGCGAACCAACACAACAGTGATGCCCACAAGACACTATGTTTGACAGTAACTGTCCAACTTCGGGGGGGGGGCAGGAGGAGTGGGGAGGAGGGATAGTGGGAGAAAAATGAAGTGGGTAACAATGTTGGACAAGAAATGCACTCATTACCTTATTTATGTAATTGTAATACCACTGTACAACACCTTTACAACAAAATAAATTTTTTAAAAAGGAAGAAATATAAAATGTGGGTGGGGAAAGGAGGGAAAAAGTGGGAGAGAGCAAGGGAAGGGTTAACATTCTTTAAAAAGATACGTACTCTTTTTCTGACTTACATAATTGTAACCCCTCTGTACATAACTTTTACAATAATAAGGTGAATTACAAAAGAAAATAAGAAAGCCATAAAAAAAGAAATAAACAAGGAGGAGGAGGAGGAAAAGAAGAAGAGGAGGAGGAGGAGGAGGAGGAAGAAGAAGAGGAAGAAGAAGAAGCCACTAGGTGCTGGTGGCTAACACCTGTAATCCTAACTATACAAAAAGCTAAGATCTGAGAATTGAAGTTCAAAGCCATCCTTGGCAGGAAACTCCAAGAGACTTCAATTAACCACCAAAAAGCCAGAAGTGGAGCTGTGGCTCAAGTGGTAAAGGGCTAACCTTGAGCACAAAAGCTAAGATACAGCACCCAGACTCTGAGTGTGAGCCCTAGAACTGGGCACAAGAAAGAAAAGAAAAAAAGCCACATGTAGTGGTTCCTTTCTATAATCCTAGTATTCTGAGACAGGAGGATTGAGCATTTGAGGCTATCCTATGCTATATAGAATTCGAGAACAAGCAAAAAAATAGTAAAGAAAAAGGGAAGGAGGTAGAGAAGAAGGTGAGGGGAAGAGGGAGGAAGAGGAGAGAAGGAGAGGGGAAGAAAGGAGAAAGAAAGGAATGGACCCAAAAGGAGATCTTTACCATATAAAAGCCATGATTTTTAGTTATCATAATCATTGCAAGCAATCCACTTTGTCCATTTCCAAGGATAGTAAAAGATAGTATAATCCTTTGGAAAAGTAATTTGGAACTTTTATTGATAACCCAAAATACAGTAATATCTTTGACCAAATTTCTCCATTGAACTCAGCACCTCTTACTTGCCAAGGGTATTCTACCACTAAAGCCTTTCAGACAGCCCTTTTTTTTTTTACTCTCCTATGCCTGAGCTGGCCTGGACTACCACCCTCCTATTTGTGCTCCTTTGTGTCACAAAGGAACATGACAGGCTCAGGTCATTGTACACAGTCACTGTACTGCATCCAGCTAAGAACTGTACCTCAAGGAAACATTATAAATGTGGGAAAGTTAACACTGAAAAGTTAGAAATGTCCAACTATAGGAAAATACTCAAACCAAGACACTCACACAATATTTACAGTAACAATACATCTATGGAGGCAAAAGCATTACAAGGGATTTTGATCACATGCAGAATTTTGTCTAGTTCATTCACTGTGAAATCAGGACTCTAACACAAGTAAATGCTTAACAAATATTATCAAATGATTATGCACATACTTTTACAACTTGCAAGACAAAAATATCTGAATGGGCCTGCTTTCACAAAAAGTGGGGAAAGATGTGAATAAATGCAAAGCTACTAATCTTGGTGAAAATTAATACTGCTTTATTTTAACCAATTTCAATTAAATTAAATTATAAATTAAAGGAGATTGAAATTCTACCAGATGTTGGTGGATCATGTGTACAATCCTAACTACTCAGGAGGCTGAGTTCTGGGAGATGGAGATTCAAAGCCAGTGAGTCACAGGCAGAAAAGGCCCCAAGACTCCATCTCCAAAATAACCA